CCCCAAAACCCCAAAACCCCTCAAAGCAATAGTTGTCTATCTAATAGCAAATAATTAATTAAAATCTAAATTATTATTTAATTCATGGAATCTAGTAAATAGCAGCAACAATTCAAAGGGAAGCAGGAGAGCAGAATGCTTCTTTATGTTGATGCTTTGAATTACTCTAGACGGTTTTTCAATGACTCAAACTTTTGGAACTTAAAAAAGCCTTTTATAAAAATCAGAAGATTTGTAGACGCGGCTCGTAAGTCAGGAATTGATATTGAAGTTTACATTGATGCGGGCATGCAAACAAAAGAAGCGTTAACTAAATGGAGGACTAGGAGAGAAGCTTAAGTCAAAAAGTGTGAGATGAATGTCCCCACTTGCCTATCCTAAATATATGGTGATATGTTTAGAGGACTCAAGGTGCCTGTCTGGTATTCAGATGTGGACAATGATGACACCTTAGCTTCATATGCACATTTCTATGGAGCATGTATTTTGAGTTAAGACAAAGATTTCTTCAGATATACTGAAGGGAGGTTCCCCATATATCACGACTTTATCATAGATGATAAAGGCTATTTAATTTTACAAAGAGCTAAGGAATTTGATCATCCAAAGAAGAGGTCAATAATTCAACCTCCACCTAACGTTTTTGAATAATATCCAATTATTCCAAAAATTCATTAAATGAATGAGTACTTAAGAGGCTGTCCTAGTGCCTTAACAAAATATACTGGCAATCTGCAACGAACATTTACAGAACTAAGAGCATATTTTTACTTTTAATAGGGCATAAATTTCCCAGTTAACGAGAAATATCCTGAATGGGATCCTGAATAAGAGGAGGTTTACTGGACCTAGGAGATAGTCGAGCCAGTCAAAAATATGTTCAAAACTAAAGTACTAGACATAAGAAAAATAATTGATTACTATAAGGATAAAGTTGTAAGACCGGACATTTTAAAAGATGATGAGCTAGCTTGGAGCAATCATCTTTATGCTTTTGCTGCATTAATTAGTGAAATCCTTGCTAAAATATTCAGAAAACCTATGCACGTATATATACAGTAATGCCAAGATTATATGACAGAAATTGGAATGATGAATAAAATTGATAATAGAGGGAAAAAGCATACTCATAAATTGAAAATCGGAAAATAGTAAATCGAAAATAACCCCGAATAGGAAATTAGTAACATACCCACTGAATAAGATGAGCTAAGAGCTATGACGGATGAGTTAAAAGCTACATTGTAGCTAATGGGGAACCTAAATATTTAAACAGATTTTAATGCCTAATTGAAAGATCAGGAAAACTTACAAAATAATGAAAAAGATATTTCAATATAAAATGCAACACTTGATATTCAAAATTCTAATGCTAACACTCCTGCTTAAGTCTCTATTTAATCATCGTAGCAGAAAGACTAATAATCGAATAAAAAGAACAGTAGAAAAAATAAGAAGTAGAAAAATTAACAAAAAGAGATGAAATATTAAGTTAAAGAAAAAATAGAGAAGGTTGAAAAAAATTTTGATAAATCATTATAACCATAGTAAAAATTTGTATACAGACCTAAAGTCTAGCAAGTTCAAAACAATGAATAATGAGTTATAAATAATATTATCATAATTAAATTTGAATTATTGAAAATTGCTCGTAGATTAGAAAAGAAGGGGTTTTGGGGTTTTGGGGTTTTGGGG